AATTTATTTGTCAATATAATATTTACTCCTCCAATGGTAAAACTTAACAATTCGGAATATTTAATCTCAAGTTTTAAATTCTTTTCATGCAACTTCAATATTTTTTAAAATGCGTGACAGTAATGTTTAACATTCCCTTACTCGAGTCTCCAAATTTAAAAAAAAAAGACAAAATAAGTGTACCTTATTGAGTAGCATAACGAGTAGGTGCAGGTGTCCTTTATGCGACCACAAAACCTTATTTTGATCTTTGATATACTTAATAATAATAATAGTTTGACTTGAGATAGAACACGAGCAATTGCAAACTTAATTTTTCAATTGCGGACTATTTTTTATAAAGTGACGGGACGAACAAGTCGCCTTGTGGTGGACGACAGGCCTATCCAGACTTGCAGTGCCACTCAGAGCTTTAAATCGCACAAGTCTTAGAGAGCACTGCCACTGCGCGCGTGATCCTGAGATATAAGTTGACAAGTCCCATGTGTCTGAAATTTCACCAGCTTTCTTCTAAATCGGAACGCAGTAATGTAATTACAATATTGTTTGGCGGCAAAAATAGGTGAGGTGGCAGTACAACGTCAACCTTTACTTGTACTGGTCAATGTTTACACCACTGCTCAAGGAGAAGTATAATTCGCTGCTTTTCAAGAATAGTGGCTCAGACCAAAATAATTTATATTAGTCTTGTAACACAGCTGCTTTCAGAATGTGCTAAATTTTATTGGATAAATAACACCTCGCTTGTTATTAGTTAAAAATGGATTAAAATGAATAAGTAATAGCAAGGACTGGTGTATGATTGGTAAGCATTTGCACTTTGCATATGCTTCAGTTGTTTCTAAGCCATCTTCCTGATGAATTGGGTTGATTTTTAGATAGGCCACTATTAATTTATGCAGCCAAGAAAAAATTTCGGATAAACTAAGCTAAACTCTAAACCTTATTGAAATTAGAAAATAGATTTAGAGTAGAAAAATACCTTCGCTCTGGGGTCATATCGTGCCCCGGAAGCTGACAACTGTTCGCTTTTGGATCGCCTGCATTCTAAGCTGAAGATTCCAAGACTTACATTCGCCTGAATCGTGTTCGTTAAATGAATAATGATGATGGAAGCGCTGCTGTCTTCCGCAGCGTCTATAAGTGCCAGATGCGAAGGCGACGTTCGGGGCGGTGGGGGCAGAGGCGGCCAGTGTGATGCAGCGCGTAGCGGCCTGTGTCAATCAAGAGGTGCGGATTTGTTTCGATAACCTGTCTACAATCTTTATGCATTTTGAGTATACATCTTTTATCGCGTAACTCTCGTGGTTAGGTACCCGTTATGCGTGATGGAGGAACGGGATGATACTTGTGAAGGCGCTGGATACGCTGTAACTAGTTGAGTTCGTACGTGTGTGTGTGCGTGTATGTTTGTGTGTTGTGGTGGTTGAAATATTGCTCAATTACACCTTAACCTTTTAAGATGTTTCTTTCGAGATTGTATCATTACTGAATGTAAAAATTTTCAAAATATTATTGTTCCGCTTTTATTTGTAAATATACTTGGCAAGTAGGAAATTGTGTAAATGTCTGTAATAAATTATAACCCATAGATACATTAAGTTTAAAGATCTTTCACGGGAATTCCTTTTTCATCGATTCTGAGAAACTACTTTTTGAGTTTATACACTATAGTATTAAAAGTGCGGTATATTAATAGGGTCCCCATTAAAACTTATTCTCTTATTTTGTCTGTTGGAAATCTAGCATATTGTTGTGATGAAGGTATTATACGAATTCCAGTGGACAAAATTATCGTAGCTCTTATTTTGGAGCCAACTCTGAACGGTTTCAAGGCTCATTAAATATATTGAAAAGTAACGAGCTGCGATTGCAACATAAATAGCATTTACTTTATTTCCTCACCTGTTTACATTGGATATGTTTACCTAATCAAAATATTCTGTATACTTGCTAAAAAGAAACAGTCAGAAAAACTGTCATACCAGAACACACGCGGACTTACCACCCTTATCACATTATATACTATTTTCCTTGGGCTTTGTAAATAAATAAATCGTTGGTAAAGCATCTCGGCACGCCTTGTTTTTGCAACTGAAAGCCGCTTTAGCGAAAACAGTATTTATTCTTTTCACCGCGCCGGGTTCGTATTCTTTTTAAATAAAATTCGTTAGCGCCGGGATTTACTTGGGCTGAATTTCGATGCGAAAAAGACAAAGAGCCGATTGTGGAGCGTCCGGCGAAAATGGGGAATCAATTAAAGAGCACATCGATTCTCGAGTGTCGATAACGTCCGTCAGAGCGACGGGGCTCGATAAGATTGTCGGCGCGGGCGCGGCCTCGGGCCCGCCGGCTCCTCCAGCCCCTTAATTACTCTTATCGCCGCCGGTCGCTCCACGCATCACTTCATCGCATTTTTCGGAATTGGTCAATGAAGCAACATCAAATAATTTTATACTAATTTAATAACCTTTATTTACATCTTCAAAATCTCACACAATCTGTACAATAAGGTTACGCACATGTAACTTGGTGATATATTTCTTATTTAAAATACAAGATACAATTTATACATTAATGTATATCTAGGTCGATCGATTAACAAATTTTATATATATATTTATATATTAAATATGAAGTTTTAATCGTTACAATAATAGTTTAAAATTTATCGTTCTTACTGTGCACTTTTTTATTTACATTTTATTTGACAAGCGTGAGGGGCAAGCTTGGTTACTCGATTATACTAAGTGGATAATATCTATTTGAATCGACATTACAATTCAACAATTCGTAACAAAGGAAAGAGTAACTTATAACTTCAATAACGTAATTCATGACATTAAAATAATATTTGATTTTTAATTCGGGACTTATCACGTATAAAACATATTTTATTTACCTCGACGTTTCGGACATATTGCAACGTCCATGGCCTCGAAGGGACTGAAGAGGCGGGTGTCAGCATCTTCTAGTCGTGCGAGTTTTTCTAACTACCCGCACTTGATCTTCATTATTTACTTGTGCACTAGGGTTCTCAGTAGGGGATTAAATCCCGAATTATAAATAAAATAATGTGTGAAAATCGTGAACGTTTAAATCAATGTATCAAAATAATAGATTCCTAATAATTATTCTTTGGCACATAGAACTTTGAGAGGGTACTAAAATAAAAATAAATTTTAAAGCCAACTGTGTTTTGTCGATTGCAAAAATTCCGTAAGCCCGTTATTGCCGCTCGTGGGTAAAATATAACAAAAGCTATCGATCAGCTAGCTATCAATGAGCAATACAAATATAATACAAGACATTTTTAACATTACCATATTGATTTGTTCAGTTAGAATAATAAATAACGAAATGTCAAGAAATTGCGATGTTATTTTAACTCAATGTTAAAAAATTCTGAATTCACAGAATTTGCTTTTCATTATAAATATCTTCAGCCGGTGATCAAACATTTTGTCTTTATTTTATGATATTTGTTACACCGGCGGGTAAGTGCCCGAAGCATAGCGCGCTGATTATACTCGGGACTTTTTTTTTAATAATCGGAACAATCGACAAAACACAGTCGGTATAATATCGCCCCTTTCCAGACTAGACTTTCCAGACTTATTGCAGTAGAGCCCCTTGTGAAAGAGTTCGTCCAGGGAAGTACGGCCACCTTACCTATTTCTGCCGCCAAGCAGTGGTGTCAGCATTACTGCGTTCCGGTTTTGAAGGGTAAGGGTGCTGGTGAAATTGCAGGCACATACAGGGACTCTACAACATATTATAAGCCTCAGTGTGACGGGCGCAGTGGTAGTGCCCCTTAGAAGTTTGCTATTTTAGCTTTCAGTGGCACTTCAACTGCTATTGACGGGCGTGTCGCTTGCCACTTGTTCGAGTTGTTCGTTCCGTCACTATGTATCATAAAAAAAATACTAACTGTAATATCTGACATTGTTGTTGTAATTATACATGTGCGCCGCGATGCCACCGCCAATTTTTACATGCCGCCGCCGAACATGATGGCGTAAAATCGGCGTGGAGAAAATGTGTTTTATTTTAATGACTTATTAGTTTCTTTGTTAATTATTTATCATATATCAATACAATTTTATCCTACAATTAAAATTAAGTATGTATTCGTACTAGTTTTACATTAAGAGCGTTTATTTAAAAAAATGGATTATATTTGATACCTACGCGCTAAATAATACAAGTTAAAGTGTAAAAAAATGAATACAAAGATTAACAATGTTTTAGTTTCTTTTATACAACTGAACATTATGCCCCACGCCGATTTTACGTCATTCACGCCGCCTGCTGGTCGAAAAATCATAGCACGACGTCGCCGCCGATTTTATAATTTGCGCACTTGTCTAGTTACAACTAGCTAAGACGTAAAATACGTCCACTAATATTAAAAAAAATATTTTTAATCCATGAATACAATAGTAAAATACTAAACCGAAAATTTACCTAATGTTAGTTAAGTCAGTCGGGAGAGAGACAATGACACTCGTGTATCGAACTATGCTAAGCACGGCGATGGCGAGCGTCACAAACAACGAATATAATAAATACATTTAATATTAGAGTATCGTTGGAAGGACATAGTACATAGACTGCGTATCGAAGAAGATAAAGGAGGCAGAGGTATGTAGGAAGAATTACCTCTTGATAATTTATAACTTTTTCCTGAAAGTAAACAACTGCGATACAATATCAGAAGATAACATAAATAATTAATACGTTGGTAAGCCGTAGGAATGAAAGTAGATATTAATGGAGTTTGTACACACGACATTTGGTTATAAGATTGACGGAATACCTGATTTTTGTTTTATATGTGAAATAAGCGGAGACAAGAAAAGGCTGCGCGTATTTCTATAGCTTTAGTGAAAAGGGGTACTATTAAAAAAAGCCAACTTTCCAAGGAAAAATGAAAATGAAAAACACTTAACGCTTAAGAGTTTTTCACGTTTCCTTGTAAAACTGTTTTTTTTTTACTTGTACCCCTTTTCACTAGAGCCTCAGATTTAAGGAGTCCTCAAACTTATTGACATGAAATCAGTTTGAGGCGATGATGTTTTACCACATTTGGTGTATCAAGCCAAATTATGACGTCAACGCCCGACCGACCGTCGATCCGACCTGCCGATCGGCCGTCGTCATTTGATTATGGACGCGATCGAAAGCTAAGAAAGATTCGTTGCCGACCCGTGACGTTTCGCGTCATACGAACCGGCACGACTCTCAAAATGCTTTTTTCGCTCTTGTTACAATCATGAATATAAAGCTTTTCCTTAAAGCATCGATAATTACGTAATTACCTACGCTCCAATTGAAAACAAAATAGTAATATTTTTACTTACAGTTACAAAACTTTATTATAAAATACCCAACTTGTACCTAAACAAACATTGATCTGCTCTCAAACTATAAAATCCCTATAATGGGTATCAGAGCACCTGAAGTCACTTCGGGGCACTACCCAGAAATCCTAACAAGAACCAATATAGAAAGTTCCCAAATTTTCCAAATACATCATTCCGGAAATCGAACCCGAGACCTCCACATGCAGTGTCCACTGTGCTAACCTCTGCACCACCGAGGTCGACAAATGGGGATATATCGGAAAATTATAATTTATTTCGTGGTAAACACAATCACGCCTCAAATTATTTAATGTGCCGTGTGTACAAAATTACTCGTACGTTAACGTCAGGAAGATAAAAGTAACGTCGTCTGTATACAAATATAAAATTCTCACTATATCATCGATCTTCACTCAGGATATGACGTAACAGTAGGATGATATGTTTCATTTTCTATTAGGTTATATAAATTAACATTTTTATTATAACATTCATCCAAAATACGTTTTCATACTTTTTTGCTCGTTAATATAATATAAAACAAATGTTTTTAAAATTAACATGACCCTAAACGTGTTTAGTTTTGTTTAAAATCATTGACGATTGACGAATCAAACAATTTGGATTATAATAACGATAGCGAGGAGCGACAGCCGCCAACAGCGCAGATTTCTAGTGCCTGGAACAAATAAACGTTGCAATTTACAAAAGTTATACACTACGTTCTAAACGTAATTTAATTACCAAAACATATAACACAGTCTATCGTCTTTGGAACTAGTTCTTGAATTATTATTTTGGCCAATAATAAGCATAATTTGGAGTGCACGGAAAGAGGCTTCCCGCACGACATACCCATCTTTTCCTAGCGCACCCTGAGCAACAACCGATTACGCCGATTGGCAAAACCCTTCACCAATTGTGTCTTTTCAATTGAATTTGTGAATGTTTAGCAGCAATAGCACTTGCAACGGTTAAGTAAAACATCGTGATTAAACCAGGATGATAAAGAATGGTTGCAATCCTTGGAAAATATGAGATCTTCAACCCAGGTCCCAGATTGGACCAACGAGCTGCTGTCGTTTAGGAATGATCAAATTAGTTGACATTCGTTTAGCGGTGTTTGGAGTTGTAACGAGTGTTATTGCCATAACTATATCCAAATATTATGACATCATACGTAATAATTTGTTTATGATTATTATTTTCCCGATATTTCGGAACAATTAATTACACGCTACGGGTAGAAAGAACACGCTCCAGAGATCGTAGTAGTCGGAAAAGTAGAATATCTGAATAACTATGTATTTGCGGCAAATATTTTTTTTTAACTGCACTAATAACGAAATTAATAGAAGAATAGTTAGTGCTCGAAATAAATATTGGAGAACTTAACTTAAAAAATAAAGAAATAAATATACGTACGGCTGACAATGCTGGGCTTTGAAAAAAGTCAATGAAAGTAAGGTACACATTTTTGAAAGAAAATCGGAGAAAAGTATGTTAGACGCACAACAAAGAGAAAGAATTAAGAATAGAACAGCCAGGGAAAGAACAAAACTTTCAAATATATATAATCTTTCAAACAGAAATGAGCAGGATAGTATATAGACAATGATCAATGGACTAAAAGAGTAATTGAAGGGATTCAAGGAAACGAAATAAAATATAAATATCTGCCGAGAAAGTGATGGAAAGACATTTTAATAGAAAAAGCAGCACCATAATGGATGATGAAAGCCAGTGTCAGAGAATTATAGAAGAATGATGAGAATGGGAGAGGCCTACGCGCCGAGGTGTCTACTACGTTTCTAGGAAATAAGAGAATAAAAATGTAAATGTTATTGGTAGGGTCAAATAAAATTACACTTCCAATTATTACATAGATTAAAACTACTCATTCGTAGGTCAAATTCATCTGAGATAACATTGACTTACAAATAAATGGACGACGGGTCTAATACAAAAACCACGAAAAAAATGTCCCAAGTCAACCTATTCAAATGTAGTGACATTTCAAGGAATATGAAAAAGCTAAAACGTTGAATTTAAATTGTAATGTCATCGCAGTACTATCTAATTTTGCTTGCTTCGCTGTCAGTCGAACAAACGAAGACTACAGCGTGAATGACGCTCTGTATACGATTTTAACGCCCTATAAGTTCGGACACTTTTTAGCGCGGAACCGACGTCCAAATAATTGTAAGTCAATGTGAGTTAAATATTTTTTTCGTATTATCTATATAATCATTGATTTTGTAATTTTTCTTAATAGCATAATATTTGTAATGTGATTTTTAAGGAGTTTTTCTGATAAATTTTGTATATTTTCTGGAATTTTACCATGAAAATTTATACAGTGCATTACAAATAGACGAACTAACTTTGATAAATCTGAGCACAGGGTTTGCATGTTTATCTTTGTTTCTGAGATTAAGGTAATGCCTCATTAGATCACGTCGTGAGAAACCTGTAATAGTTTATAAGAATTTAGTGAATAACCGTGAACATTTTTATAACTTATAATTTGAGTATACATGCGCTTTGTACTGTGCATTATAGCACATCTATTTAACCGACTTGAAAAAAAGGAGGAGGTTCTCAATTCGACTGTACGTTTTTTTTTTCGTATGTATACATACGCGATAACTCCGGTATTTGTGAACCATTTTTCATGATTCTTTTTTGTTGGAAAGAGGGTACCTCCATAGTGGTCTCATTTAATTTTGAAGAAAATCATCCACCTCTAAGGGTCACTCATGAAGATTCATTTTTAGAAACAGCGCCTGAATTTTATTATAAGGAGCAATTATTTTAATGGTTGATTTTGCTATTCTCCAATTCAACGAGGTTTTCTCTCGTTACATTTTGAGAAGTGAGAACCAATTTTTATTATCTCCTGTGTCAAGTCCCGTATAGTGGCGAACTAGGGGATGAATCCGGGTCTGCGTACTTTTCGGTAACCGATTTCAATAAAACTTGGTAATTATATGGAATTCCACGTACTTTTGTGGTCGGTTTTTATAGTACTTTGTACTGAGATTATTTTATAATACATTTGTAATTTTTTTTAATCGAATAGTTCAGATGTATTCACAACGATCACGTAGATGGATGCTTAAAATTCAGCGTTCATGTTTAACCCGCATTGGTAATCTTTAGCATAGATCCCTTATATTTATTCAAAGTGTTCCCCAGCTATATTTGTTATCATATCATATAACTGTTCAAACACTTTTCCTAGAGCATGTAGAGTTGCCTGTACTGGTGGTGTTATTTTCAATTATTTGTGTATTTGCGTGCAGGCTACCTAATTTTTAAATCTGAAAAGATTTGCAACTAGCAGATAGGGAATTCGTAATATCTGCTAGCTCAAACTGCAGCTCAGTCGGTAAGAGCGATAGCCACGTTGAGCCAACAGACGCTGGTTCGAGCCTAGTCGGATCGAAGGAATTTTTCTTTGTATTTGTATCATTAATAAAACCAACAAGAGTATTTTCACAAAAAATATACTGTATGAATATCATGGTAGCAAAAACATCATGATATTCAATAAAATAAATATTCGGTTCAAATATTTAGTATATATTTATTTTATTTTATTTTATTTATTGCAAATATGTTTACACGGCATTACAGTTCCATAACCAATGCGCCGTGAAACCAAACTAATTAAAAAATAACAATAAAAATGAAAAATAAACCAAAAAATACTTGACCTACTATCATCCATCGCTTCACAAAATCTCAGGCATTCATAACACACAGCCGCCCATCGCCATGCAAACAGAACACACTCCGGTGCTGATGCCAAGAGTTGATTGAGCATTGCGAGGGCACGGAGCAGTGGTGAGTTCCTGCGCGATACGGTACGCACCAGTGGGACTGTGAATAGTTCACGACGTCGCGCTCTTAAAACTATTTTAGGAATGTCTGGGACAAAGAGCCTTACAAGCTGTCCCACTAGCTCAGGACAGTCCGACCCGCCGCGTAATACTTGAGAAACAGATACCAGCAGGTTGTTGTTCCGCCTCACCTCAAGGGAATTATACTGAAGAGTCCCCAGTAAATACTTTGTCAGGTACAAAAACGGATAATAGCCGTACATTTTTTTGTAGAAAAATCTAAGGAAAGCTTTTTGAACCTTTTCTATCAAAGATGTATACGTAGCTTCATGCGGGTGCCATATAAGCGATGACGTCTCAAGTTTGCTCCTCACTAAAGCATTATAGACCATTCATATAGCACCAAAATCTTGAAAGTCTTTGACGTTGCGGATCACAAAGTCCAGTCTTCGAAAGCAGTCGGCAGCAAGTGTCACGACATGATCGTGAAAAGTGAGGCGCGAGTCAAAGACTACACCAAGATCCTTTATAGAAACGCGGTTAATTGGATCAGTCCCAAGCACATATTGCATATGTAACGGAGCACGTGAACAGCTAATAGTGCAGAGATAACATTTCGCCGGATTGAAAATGAGCTTGTTATCCACACTCCATTGGAACACAGCATTGACGTCTCTTTGTAAAGGTTCACAATCGGCTGTGTGCTCCACCCCATACACTAATTTGAGGTCGTCAGCATAAAGCAGACAACGAGCGCTCTTTGTCCCAGACACGACCAACCAACGAGAACTGATTCCAGATCGTTGATCATTAAATTAAATAAGAGAGGACCCAGGACTGAACCTTGGCTAACGCCGGATCGAGTATGATATGGAGCAGAGACGAAACATCCATGCCGAACATACTGTTGTCGATCACGTAGATAACTAGCAAAAAGTTTAACCATCTTAGGGGAGAAGCCAATTCGATCTAGCTTGCTTAGAAGCATGTCTTTATCTACACGATCGAAGGCTTTTTAAAAGTCGAAATAGAGAACGTCAACCTGGATACTCCTGTCCAGATGATCAGAAATTATGTCGACTAAAACCAATAGATTTGTATTAACAGAGCGATTTGACCTAAAGCCATGTTGCGAGTCACACAAAAAAGGCTTAATTTGTGGGGTTAAGGCCCGATGAGTACAGATTCAAATAACTTGGCTAGAGTTGACAGAACAGCTATTGGCCTATAGTTCTCTACATTGTCAGTATCACTCGACTTCGGGATTGGTCTTACCCTCGTGAGTTTCCAGCGCTGCAGATATATTCCAGAAAAGATTGCTAGATTAAAGATAAAATGTATAGGGATTTTAAGCTGTTCCTTACACCCCTTTACAATATATGCACGCAGGTTATCAGGCCCTACCGAGCAATTAGTTTTAAGACGTCTTATGGCCATCTCTACTTCCTCCATGGATATATATGCAATATTAATATAGTTGGCACTGCAACTCTGACTGTTGGCCCTTAGAAGATTTGGATCGAGATGGGGAATATCAGTTAAGAATACTCCAGAGAAGAAACTTGAAAACGCACTAGCTACCTCACTACCGGTACACTGTTTCCCTTCAAATTTCACACGAGATACGAAGCCGCATCTTGACTTCAGACTATTCAGGTGTTGCCATAAAGCACGTGGAATGTGTTTTACTATGACCTGGATTCGACTTATTTAACAATCATAGGCGGACGATATTTGTTTTTTCACGTCTGACGTAATTTTGTCAAACTTAGAGTAACTAGATTTACTGTTAGTGGACTTCCATTCTCGGTGAAGATTGCTTTTGCGCTTCAGATCTCTGATTAAGTCTGCTGTGAACCAAACTGGGTAGCATCTACTGGGCTTCCCTGATCGTATCTTTTTCGGCATACACCTATCAAAAACACAGTACAAGATGTTATACAAATTCTCCACAGCGGTATCAACGTCTACCGCATCTAAGACTTCTTGCCAGTTTACTTCGGTGATTAAGTCGTGAAGAAGCTTATAATTACCTTTACCGAAATTCCAATCATGCCGGAAGTCTATATAACTGGGATCAATTCGATCAACTGGTCTTCTTATTATTACAATTGAGAGGAATTGATATTTCCAGCGGAGGGTGATACACATCTTGTTTTGGGACCAGTCCGCCACATTCCATTTAGAGGACTTTAGTGTCCGCGATACACTCTGACACCAGCACAACATCTAATTTCCCACCACGTGCATTCATCACCTCAATCATCTCTCTTAAACCACATACATTTAAAAAAAAACAATAATAACTTAAAATACTATTTGATGTAAACAAAGATTTATATATAACAATTTATATATAGATACATATATATATGTATTATGTATCAAATGGCAACCCGAAAATAGCATATCTACTTTAAAATAATTTGATAGCAAGCGAAAATACAAAAAGGGAGATGAGATGAGAAACACACAAAAAGGGAATATTATTAACAGAGATCGGTACAGGCAGAGTATATTTACATAAACTTCAAGAACGTAATGTACACAGAGCGGTTGATGCCCCCGTTTGAAATTCTGGAGTTTCTATCGTATTTTGTGATACGTTTTTGGCGTGTGCTAACGGTAGTTTAGTTGAAAGAAAAGGTCTGTAATTGTAAGTGAAAATGTAATACAGCGACGTAAACAGCAAGGGGTGTGAAGAATGACGATTGAGAAGCCAAACACTAACTGCACTAAGTGGTGTGTTTCAGCGACTTCCGGAAATATGACAAAATGCGTATAGCAAATAACACTAACAACCCAATACTTTTTGAAGTTGCAAGGCATCGGTATTATGATTGAATGATCTAAAAGGCTTGAGTGCCGTTCAGTGCCATATACTAATATTCGTACTAGAAGAAGATTGATCATACAAACATGAGAGCTCTTATACTATTGAAGTGAACAAAACAGTAGCGTGCTTCTGAGTACAATTAATACAAAGTAGCGGTGTTCGCTGGGACTACATGTAGAAGTACTCATTTTATAGTTATTGCAATAACTATTTTGTCTTTTACTTTTAATAATTCCGCATTTTAGAGGTTTCATTTACTCTATGTGTATTACTTGAAGCTTGCATAAATATACTCTGATTAAAGATGAATGAAATCATTGTCGAAAGGAACGTTCCTCCAGAAAATTTCACCTACACTACAGTAGCAGTATTTCCGCAAGAAAGAAAATTTAAAGACCCTCTCCACCTCTAGCAGCAAGAATTGATTGTACGCGGTCTGCGCTGAATATTTATGAGGGTTAAGTGTGTATGCGAACTCGTTGAATGTTTAATCTGTATTTGGAGGAGCACACGGGCCGAGACCGAAGCCCGCGAGGGTCTCGACCGCACCAGTCTAGCACCGATAAAAGGTTATTCACTACGCGTGTTCCTTCTAGAAATGCGTGACGTCACTAACGGCTTCAAATAAGATCCCATGTCCTTCCACTAACAAATCAGCATGATTGATATTAATATTTGATCCATGTTCATCACATGCTGAAAGTCGGCGAAGTCTTTGACTAGTCAGTGCATATTTTACAATAGCTGAATAGAATCCTTCGTATTTAGCAAAGCAAATTGAAGGTGATAAATATTGTAACAAAATGTAAGTATATTAGCATAATTTAAAGAACAAAAAGATTGATTTCACAAAAACGAATATAAAAAGTAGTCTGGTTCATTTATGCAGAGGCAGATCGGAGCCGTGCTGTAAATCGTACGAACTCAGGAATAAGGCAGATAAATTTGGAACTACATTCTCAAGAACCCTTATATTTCTTGGCACCAGTAAAAGTGCCACATTCGAAGTGCGCGCAGTAACCTCGCGACGCAAGCATTTATTTTTTACCGCTAAAGGGGACGCCTTAATAATGCAGCGTATTGTTACAAAGAATACAAAGACTAAGCCTCTTGTGGCTCCACTTGCTTTTTGATGCGATTATTCAAAAGCCTTTGTAAGCGTTAGCTTTTTGCGTACGAGTAATTCGGTTGTTTTTTGAGGGAATACTAAATCCCGTCGAATGATAGACAGGTTTATCTTAGTTCGAATCAGGGATCGGGGCGGGACGAAGACCTTTGAGATGAACAAAATCGATTTAAGAATGTCACCCAAGCGCCTATGATCAGGGTTGGTTTGGGATGTCATTTGGCAATAACTCATATCAACCGAGTATCTCTAAAATAAAAAGTAGATATTACATTGCTACCACTCCTAAAACAGTGTAATAAGGAGTCCCACAGGGTAGCGTCCTGAGACCGCTAGTGTCCTTCTTTGTGAATGATTTTCCCAAATACCAAGTGTTCCTTGGTCATATTTGTGGATGATGGTAAACTTATTTATTTATACAGGCTTACAATACAGACTTAAGTCATTACTTACACAGAATGTAAATTTATAAGGGCACTTCGGAGAGTAGTCCACGGGCATAATATAAAGTGTCAACACATAACAATAACAAAAATTCAAAGGTCAATCTAAATTTTTTTTTTCAAATTTTAGTAGGATTTAACTAAGTGTAACAGGTCCTACCCTAAGTTATACAAACCTTACCATTGTCACTGAGAAAACTTGTAAGTTCTAACTTTTACAAGTAGTCAAAACGGGGCAGACAGAAATGTGATCGAATATATCAAAAAAGATATAAGAATACAAGCAACAACTGCTAATACATCAACTAACCTTTACGTTCAATACATAAGTAAAAGCGACTTGTTTTTAGGCTTGAATAATTAAAATATTAGATGAAATGTATAACACTGTCTACATGCGAAAACGAACAGAAATTAATATGCTCCATATAAATTTTAATTTTAGATCCCAGTATTCCAAAAGGCTCGCAGCTTATCACGGGTTTGTGTGTTTTATTCCATGCTACGGATTACATTTTAAGGGCAATGGTTTTCGTAATAAAGATGAATTCAAAAAGCATAGAAGAGGTGTCACAAAAGCTCCAAAACTACCTATCTTTGATGCTTTGCAGTTGGCCACTGATGGCTAAGCTAAAACTAAGTGGAGTGCCTGAGGGCGCCCAAGTGGGTAAGAGCCTCCGCTCAGGCGTCACTGGGGACTTCCGCCAGAAGAGCGTGCTATAGGTGAGAATCTAGTGTACGTGCTGAAATGAGGGGCTTTACGACCTCGCTCGTATGGAGTTGCAAAACCACGGGTTACCAAAGTATTCATGTGAAACAATAATAATTGACGTCTGTGAATTTTTTTTTTGAACTGACAACGATTTTATTACAGCGTAAATGAATATACTCTATTTATTTGCGCCGACGTTTTATTGGGATGATTTGTTATTTTAATTTTATGACAAATTTTATTTGTGTGTATTATAGTGGATTGTAAAGAAGCCTATCATAATGAAATGTGTTTGTAACTGTTCATTATAAATAAACAATTTTCATTTTGGGTTCCTTTTCGCTGTTAGCATTCGTTACATCAACGTATATATTAGCTTTAGTATTTTAAAGTCTTGCAGAATAATTACAGTACCAGGCCGTAAATATTACACATCGGGAAATTCAGAGCCCGCGAATATTTTCGAACGCTGTTGTCGCATCTGGAAGTTAAAGACTAATAAAGTTTTGTATTGAATTGTCATAAATATATCAATAATACTAATAATAATTTGGAACTATTCGTAGTAATCGCGTGTTCCCGATGTGTAATATTCGTGGCCCGATATCGTAATTCAATAATCTTCTGCACGAACGACACCATCAATCGGCCAATCGTTAGTTTATTGCGATTTTGATTCCCGTGCTCGCACGCTGTTTCCCTCACAACTTAATAATAATATTAAGCAATTTAATTGCTGTTTGGAAACGAACGGTTCATGTAATGAATCACGAATTACGTAGCGGCCGCCGCCGCTCGATTAATGTTAAAACGTGTTTTAGTTGTAGAAACTAATTTAGCTTCGGGTGTGCGACTCCGGAGGGACAAAACTATTCCTTAAATATGTATTATATTAGTAGAGTAAAGGGTGACGTCGCTTATTTTTGCCGATCGCCGCTCATCGACGACTACCAATTGCTGTCGCAGACTTGGACACGTCCGTGGCGACCTAGAGCGAACGACGCCCGGACGCAAGCGGCCGAAGCGTGGTACCTGAGACGGGGTGCGTGTGCGGCGGGCGGAAGACGTGCTGCGCCGCGTCGCGGTCGGGCGCGCGGTCGAGCTGCGCGCGCACCACGCTGGGCCGCTCCGAGCCCGCGGCGGCGCCGGCGCCGGCCCGCTCGCGCGCGCGCGTGGCGTTGGCGCGCCGCGCGGCTGCAACACGGCGCACGTTAGCGCGGACGGCACAGGGAAGGGTTCTCGGTCGGACCGGCGGTGCTCGGATTCGCGGACTGGGCCGGCTCTGCTTCGAAGCGGCGACCGCCGGGCACGGAAGGGGGAAACGGAGTTGTGAGCGTTTCCTGTCGCTCTAGACCGGGCGCTTCGCGAATGACGAATAATAAACGGCGCTTTGTGGGTTCTATCATTCACCAGCAGTTAACTAAAGCCAAAACTTTAAATGCCGATCGCAGTCTTCCATGCACGATTGATAAATATGTCGTGTAGTCGGTCGGTTGGTACAGCAAAATTCTTGCGTTCGTGGTATCAGATACGAACGGTTGCAAAGCGACAGGTACCAAAGCGTCGAAAAGTAAACTGAATGAAGCTTTAATTTCAAGTGAGCGACGTATCGATGATAATTGAGATAGGAATATATCTCTTACTTTCTTTATTGGTGTTGCTCTTCATCTCCGTCGCCTTGGGGGACGTCGACGGCATTGGGATTTCTGCAAACAATAATAACCTTTAAGCATATTTTGTTAATTTTCGACACACTTAAACAATATACTCTAAACTTCGTTTGTGGAAATACATTGGCATGAGTATTGTTCGGCAAATTGAATCATGCATACATGTATACATAATCCGACTCTGGATTGTTATCGGGGTTGTGCGATTGCGTCATTAATATTTTACTTACATTAATTAGTATTTCCTTACGTACCATTCTATTGTTCTTACTATTCCCTCCAGCCGTTTTAAGAACATTCTCGGTTTCATCTGATCGATCCACCTTCACTCTAGGCATGTGGTTCGTCACTCAACCTTCATTCATCCGCTCCATATCCCCAAACCACTTCAAAAACTTTTCTCTATTTATGTAATTGAATCAACTAAAACCATTTAACGTCTCCGCGTTATTCAATATTTTAGTTAAGTGCTAATCGTAGCTATTACCTAACTACGTTAAGATGTTCCTAACATCTCCACACATAAACTTATAAATGAGCTAGTTACCGTACAATCTGATGGAGCCCTCCGTCTCTCCTAACGAGTTTTTGGATATGCAGCGGTAGTTGCCGAAGTCACCGGTCTGCAGGTTCCTGATGGTCAACTTCATGTGCGCTCTGCAACAACAATACAGTTCTTTATTGCTGCCGTTGAACATAGACATCGATAAATGCTTTTTCCGTCTATTAAGCTCGAATTGGCATGGCTATCTTTTCATACGTAAAGGTATCATCATGATCGTCAACTCGTTACACATCCAATTCCAAGGTACGGTCTCCTACCTCCTAAAGACAAGGTTAAGGTGGTCATTGCCCACCACGCTGCCCCAGTGTGACAGTTTGAGTTGGGGACTTTAATGTTTTCCGAAAGTCGTAAAGCTACTTAAACTGTTTCGTCACGATGTTTTCCTTCAAAGTTAGCAATAGGTGTTCCTACTAAGTGTTCATATAACGTAACCTAGAATTTAAATTCATAGGTTTGTTAGAAAAAGTTTGTCCTACTTCTGCTGCCAAGCAGCAATGTGAGTATTGCTGTGTTACGGTTTTCAAGAAACCTGTCAACTTGACAAAAGCAGCTCCCGGATCTTCGTGATTTACAGCTCCAAGTAGTACTGCAAATGTTATGATCAGGCGCAATACTTGTTCGTCCCGTCACTTGTCATTATAAAACAAAATATGCCATAGGAATTCGAATCGTTTACTTCTAATTTGAAAAGTAACTGTTCCACTTCCACTAGGCTACCGCTGCTCGCAAATGGAAGAGGAACGAAGGATTAAAAAGCAAGAGACTGTGCAAACGAAACTAGACTTCATATTAAAAGGGGAAACAATAAATTTTGCTCTATTTGTCATTTATCCTATGAATTATTGATAAGCCGTCGTTCAACAGCAAATAAAAATAAACTACGCTTCGAACACAAATTGTATTTCATACAACAGATAGAAATAACTTTTCTCCAACCACTTTATCTTTAAAAAACTACCCTTCCACGTTTCAGTATAAAACTGAATAAATCTAAATATCTCTGCCCTTTGTTTTGTATAGAGCAAAGACAAACGTTTCGAAAACAGAATGAAATTATTCTCACCGGACGCACATTTAAGCATTACGTCTTGTGAAGAAAAATATTGTGATGAGAAGATTCACAATCTTACAAAAATTGTAAAGTCCCAACCCGCATTTAGCCAGCGTGGTGTAACGAGACTTTTGTTGTAACGAGGCAGTTGGATGTGTATAGGTCGATTATGTTGAGTTTTTAGTAAAATATTAAGAGCAAATGTTATTGGAAACGATTGTTTTGGGTGTGTATAAATACGATGAGATTCCGGTCATTGATAAACGATATAATGGCCACTAATGGCTGGGATCAGCACAGATTGGCCGGAATGGCCGTTGGGTCGTAAACAACGAGCTGTTACATTCCGTTATGCCCTTTGCGTCGACTAACGTAATTGATCTTTGGCTGTCTGCGATCAGCGATCGCTCGATTGGGGTGAAAGTGATCAAGATTATTATATTAGTGTGGGCGTGGAGCGATTAGATGCGTGAATGGATTGTAACTTTGAAGGTTGAAACATTATGTCTTATTCTTAGTGGGTCAAACTATAACAAGTTTTGAATGTCAAATACCGTCTTACTTCGGAAAATGCTTGTTATATACCTCATTCTTTTTAAGATTTATACTATCACTAAGTGTTTGTGGATCATTTTCTTTTTAATTGGATCGTTTCAATTCTGATTGTGTGCTACTTTTTTCAGTTGGTAATATTAGATTATATTTAATTATAATTTATAAAAAAAATATTATCATAATCGCAATCTTAATATTATAATGACGAAATCAGAAAACATTTTTGGAAAACTTGTCTACAAAATATGGTACAAATGTACCTATGCAATTACGTCCGAAAAATTAGCTTCATTTCCAATGTGTAACAATCACAAAAACCCAAGAAATCGATGGAAACTGCCTCCATAGCCGATCGGTTACCATACTGGCTTGTCACGCAGAGGTCCTAGGTTCGTTTCCCGGGCTGGAAGAAATATTTGTTTGGCCTACTTTTATTTATTTATTTGACTCGTGAGTATGAGTGTAATTTGTGGTTGTCTATGTGTGTATCTATGGCACCAGCGACAGACACGTGGTTTCCCTAATGCGGGGTTATAAGTGTGTGCGTAAAAAATATACGTATAAGTAATTACCTAATAGAACAATTTATTAAAACTAACTCTGCCCGTGTATTACATTTACATTCCTAAACTGTCAAGCACATTATTACATTTTATAATAAAAATAGATACCTATAATGCCAATTCTCAAAAATTTATTTTCGAAATTTACCACTTTATTATTGAGAGTGTGTTACATAACCCAACCTTACCAACTGAACTACAACACACAATCTATAAAAACGTACTTGTCAGTTAAAAAAAACAATACAATCACAAAGCCTTGGCGACAATATAAAGCTTCAAAAAAAACTGAATTCAATAAAAACCATAAACAGATAGAAAAGCTGTAGAGTTTTTGGGCAATTCATGTAGCAACACGTTTTTAGAATCAAAGACGATATTTGGCTTTCAAAAATTGTTGTTTAACCCACTGAGAATAAGGTATTTAATGTTCAATGTTAACATTCCAAATTATTTTTATATCGTCCCTTTATTATTAAGAGTGTGATATGTTAATTGACACGGAAAATATATAAATAATTCAGCCCCTGCAGCATGCCGCCGCGATGAAACTATTATATCCACATTTAGCCGCCATTTTGAAATTTTATGGCTATAGCGAACATGGCGAGCACCGTGACGTTAAATTTTTGACGAATCGTGCGCGCGCAGGACCAATGGCCGCGAAAGTATATCGCAGTGCCAAACATGGCCCCGCAAGATCACAGCTGATTTTAAAATATTTTGACAGTTGTGCACGGTAATTTTATCATTACGACACTAGTGCGGTATCTTAACGATTCAGTATTCACAATAAAAAAATAAAATTTTCATAATGGTAACATAGCTGTATCTGCGATAAATATGTCACGAGGAGGTTGATCACATATCGCATGCGATATACCGCCATGCCAAGAGTGTCGAAAAAGAAAATTTCGTTATGAATAGTGATGTATTAAACGATTTTATAATGGTTATCAAAATTACAAAACAACAGCACTGAACGTTGGTAGAACAAGCCTTAATTAAATGTACCTGTAAGAATTTTCCTCGGTATTGACGGCGTATTTCTTGGTAGGCAGCACCATGACATTATCGTACACCCAATAGGAGATGGCACGAGGGTGGGCTTCGGTGTGGCAGTCGACCGTGACGTCGGTTCCTGCTGGCGCCCCAACAAGCTGGTTCGGCACCCAAATCATTGGGGAGACTGGAACAATACATTCTGATCAGGATTGTTGATTAAAACAATAAGAAGGTTGATTGATGTATTAATTAGTCTGAAACAATGTTAATAATGTAAATAGACTAATTAAATTATACATGCTAAAAGTAATAGTAAATTATTGTAATGTCATGTAGCAATAGAAGTAAAATTTAAAAAAAAATTACAGATTCATGTAATTTTTAGGTCAAATCAATTATATAGTCAAATTTCAAAAGTCAAAAGTCTATAATGGAGTAGACATTTTTATCTCCCAGTCATAACATCAGTTTACGTTTAAATAAATGATTATTATTTATATCAGGGGGTAACAAAATAAAATAAAAAGCTTTGTTTTCGTTCACTTAAATCCAGTATACAACAAGTTGGCTGGGCAGTTCCTTTTAAGCAAAATAATTGCTTGTGCTAGGTACAGAAGGTACAGACAATACGATAGTACAGAGGGTACTGCAGTATTATATGTATGTCGGAAACGCCCCCTGTAGGTTATAGAGTGTATCGCGCGCTCTCTCTGCCGGTTGACCTCGACCACAGACATATACCTAGTGTGTGACCTCAACCGAGTCTGGGTGGGAAACGGTGGTGGTAGACGAGAGAGGAAAGAGTGGTGGTTTGACTCTCGGGCTGCACACTCTACCTAGGAACTGTCCTACATTTCGCCTAGTGCCTAATTTGATGGTTAAAATTAATAGAAAGGAGAAATTGCTATTTAATTTCAAAGTGATTAAAATATACAGTGTTACGATAACGATGTCTGAAGATTTAGTTCTAAATCCTGACGGTTCCGACATGTATATTTTATTACACACATGGCCCCAGATTGTCTCTGGTAGTAACTTAATTAGTAAAACTGTGATTAATTAATCTGTCTGGGTACGTACCTTACATTTCTATTGTGAACGTCTCATGTCCTTTTAAAAAGTTTATAATTATTCTTTACATAAATACGAGGCAGCGGCAGTACATTAAGAGTTTACAGAAGTTTACACGATTCTCGGGGTTTTTTGTGCTACCATATGCAAATTTGATTCTTATTTTAAATAAAAATAAATATTCTTCTTATCGTTTGAAAGATACTTAATCTAGTAAATACCAATACTTATGTCAACAGCTTTAGAGGTCATGGCATCCGTACTTCGACATGGGCTTGTTCTGTGGGGAAATTCAAGGGATACTAACAAATTATTTGTAGCACAAACAATGCGTTCGGGCAATTTGAGGTTTAAAACCCTACGAACCGTGTAAATCTTTATTTAAAACTTTCAGCACTTTACCTTATTTATTAATTCAAAAAGGTGTGAGACCCAGATAGATTTGTTCGTGGCAGAAGTACGAATTAAATTAAGTTGCTATCGGAAACAATGCTGAGTTTTATGTAGGAAAATATATAACGCCTTACTTCCAGTTAATGTCACGGCCAAGAAATCAAAGATACTCCTTAATATATATATGTCAGAATATAACCGCAAGGGAGATGTTAAGGGAAAAAACTTTATCATTTATTTAGTCAAGAATTGAATACGAAACGTTCGTGGATTGAAAACTGGCCTATTCACTATTCGTTGTTTTCAATTTGACTGGTAGTGAAATAATACCGTCCGTTGATTCCAGTTCATTCGTATATCCAATTTTCACAGTAATTAGTTCGAAAGTACAAAAAACAGATCGGGTTAAACGATAGACTTTGTCATAGTTACTGTCACTTAAGGCGAGATATTTCAACACGAGCCTACATTTTAGGAGGTGAGGTGTGGGGGGCTGCCCCCCACGTCCCGCAATTCGTGCGCTGGAAATTGACATGAATAAAATAAGAGCAGGCGGAGAAAATTTGACACAGATCCGACTTCGACAAGCGCCCGATGGCGACTGACGGAGTTAGCGGGAGGCGCGGCGCCTCGTTAAACCGCTGGGCAATTTTCAAATTTTATAATAAATGTGAATTTAATAGCTGCAGGGCTTTTCAGTTGAAAACCAAAATTTAGCAGGTTCTCTGTAGTACTTGAAGATAAATATCTACACATAAAAATGATGTGCAAAGTTAGATGTTTTATTCATAAATTATTCGTTTTAGATTTTTATTTTAGCCTGTTTTCAGGATTTTATATGATCGGGCGCAGTGCATCTTATCGTGGAAGAGATTAATACATTCTTTAGACAATAAATACCCTTTTATGTGTATCGTATAGTTTTTGTAAAATTTCTTCCCGCTTCTTCTCCGGTGACTCGCCTTAATTAACTAATACTTTTGCCTTGTTATGATCACATGCGGTACATTTTTCTCATATCACCGCAATATTGACGAGCTACTTGTACGTTATGATGTATTCAATTTTGTGTATAATTGTCAATAAATAAAAAAGTAAAGTTATTCATCTGAAATTTAAAATTGTGTGCTGCTTACTTGCACCTTTCGTAAACCATGTTTTGGGCGCGCATCATTCACACACTCATTCAACATCGTGAGTTAGATAAAGAATCCAAGGGAAGGAAGTAAACCAAAAAGCAAAGTGTAACATTTCAAAAGATGAATCACTACAAAAGCGTATTGAAAATTATTGAACTAAATTCAACATCCCATTGAGAGACGCGCGAACACGACGTCGTGAATTTTCTATTCCAGTCGAGCGGCAAAAGAATTGTCAGTTCCTGGGGGCGTACCTACTTCATCAATCGCCAGCAACAGGCCGTCCACGGAGACTAGTTATTGGAAACTTAAAGAAAGCAATTTATAAAGTTTCAATAATGATGGATAGGGCCCGGCTACCCCCACCGCCCCCGACCGCCGTCGACGCGCGACCATTTTTCACATAACGCCAGATAATAAAATCCACACTTTGAGAACGTAATTCACATTCCAAGAGTTTATGGTGGCAATTTTCACGAAGAATATTACCCGTGCCTCGTGATACGCTTTAATATTCGTCGGTTTTAAAATATTTATCAAGTTCCCGTTTCTTTATGCCGTTATTGTGGATGACTTCATTACTGTTGGAGACCATAATTTTTGTATGAGACGCGAATATTTATGGCGTTATCTGGGGGCGGTTTTATTTGGGTTATAAATAAGGGGGTTTACGATTGCAGTTTGATTTCGTCGCACTCGTTAACCGCTTCAACGGCACTGCAATGGCGGTGGCGGAATAATTTCACAATCACAGCGTTCAATGTAATTGATGCACTTGGACGTTTAAATGGCTGTTACGTAAAAAATATTGTACGTTGTGATATGGATGCCTTCATTGGACTTCACGGGAGGGTTGCTTTGTGATAGTGACTGTAATTGTTAAAATTGCTAGTGAAATCACAGGCACATGGGACTAGTCAACTTATGTCTCAGATTGACGGGCGCGCAGACGCGTCAAACCAAAACACTCCGAAGTCAATTACAGTGTTTTGATTACTGTAGGCCTAATCTATACTCTGACATTTCAATAGTGGTAATAGTGTTTTTGAACGGGATGTTAAAAACTAATATACACTGTAAGTTGTAAATTTTAGAAAGTACTTTGACATAACACGTACGCAGCAATAGAGTCTTTTGATTTTGAGAAAAACGCAGTACAGTGTTGCGCGCAACCCTCAGATCGCGCAATGTCTCAGGAGCGTCTACTAATATTTGTCGCGGCTCAAATTTTTACAATAAGAAACGACATTGTATCCTGTCAAACCAATACACTGCGAGATGCAATACAGTGCTTTGTAATTTCATAACAACGAGAATCTTTCGACTGTCAACTAGGGAAAAGAATTTTATTCGTTTTCAATAGAAATAACTGACTTTCCAAAGAAAAATTATAACAGCTAGATAGATTTCTTTAATATGTAATGTACAACGTGTATCTTTTTATGTTATTAGCCTCCAAAATTATAAAAAACCGAAAAATCTTTTTCTCTAAATGCTGTTTTGAATGTTACAGTATTCTGGTTAGACACGGTAGTGCAGTGGCTGTAACCCCCAGATATTTGCAATAGAGGAATCGCTATGGACAGGCGTGTCGCCTGTCACTAGGCGCACGAATTGTACGCCCTGTCACTTGGTATCATGGAAAAATAATTATTATTACGATTATTGACCTACCAATAAACGGACGTCGAGTCCGCGCTAAAAAGTGTCCGAACCTATAGGGCATTCAAATGTACACAGATCATCAATCGCGTATCAGTCTTCGTTTGGTCGACCGTCAGCGCGCTTGTCAATCATACAGTACTGTGTAATAAAAACTTGTACATTTTAGAGAATCATCAAAAAGATCTTGGACGATCACTGTCACAATGAGCCCCACTGGTACTTAATGTGGTATTACATGAAGTATGAAGTATCTTTAACATTGTTTTCAAAATATTATCATACCATAACTCAGCCAACTAATCTATAACAGTGGTCAAATTTCAATTAATTCTGTGTCTACTCACTAATGAAACGAACGTAATTTATAACTAAACAAATAATAGAGTTTATATAACAATCAAAATGAATTTAAAATCCAATCAACAACCGTTTATTCAGCATTCTAATTATATTAATGTAAAGTTTTAAATCAAAGATCATCGGCTGCGCCAATATTGATACGGCGCGCGCATCGTGCTATTCGTGCAACCATTCATTTCGCGAGTTTCTTCGTCGCCGATTATTTCATTTTAACTCGAACTCGCTCGTGTCAAACGACTCTCAAATTGCGCTTGTTCAAACATAAACATTTTAAAATGTTCTTTTATGCGAACGAAAACTTTCTTTCACAAAATGTCCTCAAAGTTATTTGCTCGCTTATTTGGTCGCCGAAAGAAGACTTTTAAATAATGATCAACTCCCCGAAGCCGCAATCTTCGAACAGTGCACCGCAAAAAAATATTATCTTTCAATTATAACAGGGCGGCAATTTTGCCGTCTATTTAGTCAGCTGCCTTGTAATAAGAATTGAAAATAAATGGGAGCAGAAATCCTCTTTAAAAAAAGTTTCCCGTTACCGTTTCCAGCTTTGAGCAAATTTTTAATTCAAATGATGTTCGGCTGTGGTATGAATTACGGAGTTTTAGTTCGTTAACATGGGAGCGAATAGTATTAAAACTTAAATTAGAATCTATGAAATGTCTGCTGGATAAAGAATTTTAATTTAGCCCCTCGTTGACCGGATTCCGAGAGAATGGGACTGCTTAAAGTGAGTTAAAAGAACGAAATTAAGATCATGATTCAATTATGAATACGGGTAATATTCAGAGTGTACTGTGTCGATTTATTTTAGAGGTCCAATGAGTGTAGATGAATTATAATTGAATGTGGGATCTGGGATACTCACATTCGACATCGACGATGATCCGCTTGGAGACGGAAGGCGGCACGGCGTTCGTGGCGATGCAGAGGTACGCACCCATCTCGGTGCGGCTGATGCGCTGTAGGCTCAATGTGTCGCCTTCGTATACTGTCACTGTCAACAATTTTTTAGATGAGATTTGGTAGTTGACTTAGAGTCGACGGCTTGGCGGTGGCAAATATTAGTTGCCCTTTGATAACCGGATGAAGTTCGTGCAAACGGGCTGACCTGAGTTTAGGTTAGTGACTGAGAAGGTCCCCGTGCAGGCTTGCTCGCACAGGATATAGTGCCCTCCCCGTACCCAAGAGATTGATAGGGTGGATCAGTATAAATAAAACTTATTTCAGAAAGATATGGGGCTGTCAACAATATACTTTGCATAAGGGTGCTTGCTAATATAAACGTACAACAGGTAGTAAATCAATTCTCAGAGTACGAAATATTAAGTCTTCCTTCGCTATATATCTATGCAGTTTGTGATTTTGTAAGAAAGCATCTCCATCTCTTTTCATTTCCACAACACTTAAGATCGCAAACACGGCTTGCCAAGCCCACATGTAAAATTGAAATGTTTTGAAGTGGTCTCTTAGCAAGGGCAGTGAAAATTTATAACAATAATACTAAAGCAGAAATATAAAAGAATGTTACAAAAATACCTCATTCAAAAATGTTCTTATTCGCTTCAACAACATTTAATTAATTAATTAGTTTTTTTTCCGTATTGCGATGGTTCTCCTTTTTTTTCAATTTTATTTAATTTTGGAGATTTAATCAATTTTCATACGCCTAATTAAATTTCATTTTAATTTTAAAATATAGTTAATGTGTTTAATTTGCCAAATTTTATTGCACTAAATTATTTTGCAATTTAATTTAATTTTTAATTTAATATGGATTAATTTTATTTATTTTTTGCTTGTAAATAAATAAATTAAATTTTTAGGCTTGCGGCGCCCTTGCAAGGTTCGTGCAACAACATTTTAATAACTACATATTTGAACAACATGATTTGATTGAGAATTTCTACATTGAGAGGCCTATGGTTCGTTTTCCGATGCTATATGGCTTTAATTACTTAGTTTGTAACTGCTTAGTAACAAGGTTTAATAACCCTCTGAACGAAAAAGAGTACAACTAACATTTTTACCAAAATTGAATTACATACATATTCGGGATCAGGAAATAAAGGCCAAACTAGCTATTTTTTTTTTTGTGGAAAAATGTTTCAATAATTGTTGAATATACAGCTAGCAAACAGCATAACTGACTTCAATAATCAGATTTTTTTTACTATGAACAATCATATTTGACGTTTATTACATTAAAAACACTAATCTCAAAGGGTTTTACGTAGTAATGTACGGAACTGTGCCCTTTTATGTACTTTAATTACAATACTCATATAATAACACAAAAAAGGAACACCTGAATATAACTGAGCCCGTTAGTTCTATTCATGTCAAGTATTAAAAGTCGCATTACCCTTTACACGCAGTTATAATATTTTATATTTTTTTCTACTCAGTTAAAAGATAAAATGAAAATTTTATTTTGAAAACGGCTGATTAAAATACTATAGAAGTTTCTGTGGTATATATTGTACAGTTTAACTATTCTTTTTATCAGAAAAACCTAAAAAATATTTAAACACGTTTACGAATTTAGACTTTGCTGCTTGTGACTCTTCCGAAGGCAGAACACCTATCTCGCACGGTAAAGAAATCTATATATCGAAGAAGGTTCACAACCCCTGAAAAATGTGTACGAGTCCCTAACCCCCATTAGACCAGCGTGGAAGACTTATAGCCAAAACCACCTGCGTAGAGACCCGTGATCAGCAGTGTGGCCTATAAAAGGTTGTTGATCACGATGATGCGGTATTGTGTTAATAAATTATTTTCTAAATTTTTATTGAATTGATATTCAATTACTTTTTGTGAAATTATTCCACTAGTTTGTTATAATTATTAATATAAAGAACACTCAGAAAAAATTCCTTCGATCCGGCCGGATTCGGACAACTCGACTGGAAATCTCCATACTTACTTAAAAAGATCAAAATTCCCTCTTATATCTAGAAAGCGCTGATCAAATACTTTGGAAGTAGTTTTTATGTAAATGGCCGTGGACCCACCCTGAGACATAAGTTGACAAGTCCCATGTGCCTGCGGCTGCACCACTAGAAATTAGAGTAACTTGGATAAATCACTGTAAAACAAATTAGTTACAAAATTAGCTACTACTTAGCTTAGCTACAAAAAACGAGTATATTTGGTACTCGTTGCGACATCTGGTGTACCAAGAGGTATTAATTACCCGACTACGCCATCTTGTATCGCGACTAGCAATCCTCTTGAGTTATTGCTCCATGGTCATACTAAGTAACAACTGCAAATAACTTTTGGAAATTGTAAAAACAAACTTTCGGTTTGTATTCTTAAAAACTGCAATTTATATTTTTGAATGTCTGTCAGTTTTGCTTCGTGTAATATCGGATTATCTCTTTACGTTGCTAACCCTGTGGCAGCTTCGTGGAGTGCGCACGACAAATTGCGCTATAACTCGGCAATATCGACACGACGCGGCGGCGGTCGTCCGATCGCCCAGATTTATGCCTTTGAGAGTTGTTGGCTATGGCCACCGGCATTTTTACACACGCGTTTTTTTATAATGTTGAAATACAAAAAATGTGATTTAATTTACTTGTAATTGAAGGAATTACTCTAGATACAGTATCTATGTATTCGTCGCCTCGAACGTGCCATACTCAGCTTTAAATATCGAGTTTCGAATTCTGAAGTCCGAAAACGAACTAAGGTCCAAGACATATGAAGCTAAAATGTAGCTGGGCAGGACATATTGTGAATTGGTGATAGATGGATTTAAGCGACAACCGAATGGCGCTAAGAAGTGGTTACAGAAACGTGGGACATGTTGCAGCAATATAGAGAGATCGTCAAAATCACGGACCGAAGTTGGGTGAGATTAGCGCAAGATTGTGGTGAATGCAATCGGTCGGGCTGTAGATAATGATGTTTGGTAGCCTAATTTATTAATTGATTGATTGATTCAACTTTAGTGAGAGACATGTGTGATCACAGACCAAGGTGTAATCGTATGTGTGTCTTAGTTCTAAAGTAGGAACAGTTAGGTTCCATTTATCAAAAAGTTTTCATGTAGAATTTGTAAACCTAATCGTATTAAAATTGTGTATGCGATATGTACAGAGATAGGCAAGCACCCGGGTTTTAACCCGGTGCTTTATTAATGCCGGGATGATTTCGAGTTAAAGCCCATTAATGCCCTAAATCGGAGGCAAAAACTATTTAGTATTAAATATGTATTGTAACAATTAAAGTCAAAAAGTAATACTCGACTACATTGACTTACAAATAAATGGACGACGGGTCTAATACAAAAGCCACGAAAAAAATGTTCCAAGTCAATCTATTTAAACGTAGTGACATGTAAAGGAATATGAAAAAGCTAAAACGTTGAATTTAAATTGTAATGTCATCGCAGTACTGTCTAATTTTGCTTGCTTCGCTGTCAGTCGAACAAACGAAGACTAAAGCGTGAATGACGCTCTGTATACGATTTTAACGCCCTATAAGTTCGGACACTTTTTAGCGCGGACCCGACGTCCATATAATTGTAAGTCAATGCTCGACTAAGTCAAAATACAATATCAAATATGAAGCTTCATTCGCATCACGCGTCTTTTAGTGCTTAAGACCAGTTTCAAATAAAATTGTATGATAGACGCTACGTCTTCCACCGGATCCCCTGGGAAGAATGAGAAAGCAACTATAGGGGTTGCTCTTTGTAAATAAACGTTTGTACACATTTATCGTTTACAATTGTAAACAAAATGCAAAATGAGTTTACGTCGCGTGCAAGTAATAATTTTAACATTCCATGTAATTCTTTTGATCTGGATCTTTTAAGTGAGTGTGGTTTCGGCAAACGCGTGGGAATTTCTTAGACTCCCAGTGAGACTTACAACTACGGTTGTCTTTTTATGTTTTATGTAAGTAATAGGTAGGTTAATTACATTGTGCATCCAGGTACCCTAGTATATTCTTATTAGTGAGGATATGTATTGGCTCTCGGTTGTTACTGTTATTATTTAAGGTAATTTTAAGCTGTTGGTCTTCCTTTTAGATAAATAAATAAATATTTAAATATTATCACTAATTGAGACTACCTGCAAGTGCTAAACGGGTCGCTACTATGAAGTAAGTCCAAATGTACAGAAGAAGTATAATACCTTCACACATCCTTTAGTGTAAAATTTTTGGTTACCTATAATATCTTATTATAGAAACGTCAGAGTATCAGTATATCAGTAGTATCAGTTCCAAATCCGAGAAATGACAATCCGAAATATTATAGAGATTATTTTATCTCTAGGTGTACTAGCGATATTCGTATTTTCTTGGATTCGAATGGGACTTAGTGCATAAGCGGCATCCGAAGTGGGTCCGAGTTTTCTAGATACGTATAGTCCCGGATTCGGAACAAATACGATTCGGATGCAATGCGCAAACGCGCCGAACGTATAAGCTTCTATAATAAGATTCCGGTTGCTGTACAAAATTTGCCATTTGCAAGGTACCATGTGGATCCCTCTACCATAGATTTTTGTCGTCTAAGATATTACTAACGTTTAACATAATTTTTTTTGTAAATAATACTTTAAACTTTTTATAAGATGTCTCAATCGTATCATTATTCAAATATTGTTTATATTACAAATCTGTTACGTAAAAGCATGTTGTGCAGGATATTTGATATACAGACGTCGCGTTTTCACTGATAACTTTAAATTCGTTCCCATCAAATCTGGCCCAGTAAATGTGACATCAATGCTTTCTTTACATGACTCACGTGAACGTTTACACACGCGAGCATGCCCGCGTCGCGCACTTTCGCGGTCAATTCTCACAATGCAACCAATATTAGTTGAAACACAAGTGTTATGCAGTACATCATAATGCATTTTACAGATTAGATTGAAATCGACGCGAATGCTACATATCCAGAGATTGGTCGAGGTTAAAATCCACCCAAGCCGCCCGGGTTTTTACCCAAAGCTGGATTTTAATCCATTT